TGGGGGGTCTCTCTGGGGACTGGCCATGGGCATGGTATTAAAGGCTATCTTGATGATGTGGACACTCCTAGGTGACCGTCCAAGGTGTCCCTGAGAATTCTGTGCTGATTACAACCCCTCTCCAGCACACACTGCCCCCACCACTGTGCACCTCTCTGCAGATCCCTCAGACCCTGGAGACCTAGGCCACCCCCTGTGCACCCTTGTCCCATTCCAAGCAGTATCAGGAGGTACTTTCTCAATACTTACTCCCCTTGAGGAACTGATGGCCTATGGCACCAGGCCACTTGCCTTGGATCCTTGGCAAGAGGGAAAGGGGAGGTGACTTGCCTTAGGACGAATACTGGGTGACTGCTGTCACTGACTCACAGCCTAAGGACTGGACTCCTGAGTCACGCAGGTCTTCCTGTGTAGCACAGTGCCTCCTGAGAGCTGCTGTGAGGCTCTGGGCTTTGGTCTACCTCTCTGGGCCTTGGTGTGCTTTATGTATAGGGAGGGACAGACAGAAGCTCCCTCACAGTCAGGGGTCTGCACTCTCCCAGGGATCTCAGAGCCTTGGGCTGCATCTTAAGAGACAGGAAAAACCTGCTGGTATGGCCCCGTGAGATCCTGTTAGGTGGCATCAAAACTGCTTCAGGAGCTCTGAGTGTACAGGCCCTACTCCTTGAGCCAGAAGCTTTGGGTTGAAGGAGTCCCTGGCTAACACAATTGGAGAACCAGTGGACTCCAGGCCCTCCAAGGTCCTACCAGGGCCAAACCCTGACTCCAGAATCCAAGGCCTTGACCTGCCAAGCCTCAGTAAATGCTGCCCCTGCACCAACTCCCACCTGCCTCTCACCTCTGATGATCCCTGGGCCAGTTTCTACACCTCCCACCTCACAGTGCAGTTGGCCCTCTGAATCTGCAGGTTCTATGTTCACAGATCCAACACCACAGTATGGAGAATATTTGAAGAAAAATCTATGTTTGTACTGAACAAGTACAGACTTGTTTTCTTGCCTTTATTTCCTAAGCTACACAGTATAACAAAATTTACATAACATTTACATTGTATTTAGAGTTGTAAGTTATCTAGAGGTGACTTATAGTACCCAGGAGAACCTTCATTGGTCCTATGCAAATACTAAACCCTTTCCTATAAAGGACTTGAGTATCCTCAGATTTTGGAATGCACAGGGTCCTGGAGTGGATCCCCTATGGATACTGAAGGACAGCTGTACTTCACAGGAACAGAATCTAGCACTGGTTCTGTCCCAATCAGCTTCTTCCTTGGTCCTATCCATTCCTGCCCCTAGCTGCTCAGGATTGGGACTACACCCCCACCCATCAGTTAAGTACCAGTGATACTGCCATCCAAACCACCCTGGACCTCATGACTCCCCCTTCTTCCTGCAATACCAGGCTGAGGCCACCAGCATCTCCCTGGGGGCAAGTGCCAGCCTCCCACTGCCTCTGCTCTCAAGCTTGCCTCCCTCCCAACAGCTGGGATCACCTTCTCTATCTTTATGTTGAAGTATAAGAACAATATAGGGGCTAGGGATGTGGCTCAAGCGGTAGCGCGCTCCCCTAGCATGGGTGCGGCCTGGGTTCGATCCTCAGCACCACATACAAAGATGTGTCTGCCGAAAACTAAAATGTAAAAAAAAGAATAATATAGAGGAAGGCACAGGCACCAGTACAGTCATGTGCCACTCCAAACACACATGACAGTGCAGCTGCAGAACAGGGCAACTGACCCCTGGCAGGCATATTTCCTGTCCAAGACTATCCCACTGAGCTCAAGTCCATGTTCCTTCTACCTGACTTGCCCTGCTCTTCACTCCACTCCAGGCTGTGTCCCAGGCTGTTGTCACCTCTGCCCTACAGTCTTAGAGCAGTTCCTCTTCCTACAGCTCTCCCTGCTCACCCAATATGAAGATGATGCCATTCATCAGGCCACACTTGCATCATCGTCTTTCTTTTGTAGTTCTTTTGGAACCCAGGGCCTCAGGCATGCCAGGCAAGGGCTCTCCCACTGAGCCATATGCCAGCCCTTACCACCTTTTATTTCCATGGAATTTCCCTGCCTGAAATGACCTCACACACTGACCTGCATCCTATTTACCACCTTTCCCTCCTCTCTGCACTTTGTCAGTGTCAGATCTGAGAGGCTGGTTACCAGGTCTTTCTTGCCCACTCAGCATCTGCTAGTGTCAGGCCCAGGTAAGGGCTCAGCAAACTCTACATTGCAAATAAGTGAAGACTCTGGGTGTGTTGTTGGCAAGAGGCCACAGTGAGGGGTGCTCAGGAGGACCCAGAGCTCTGGGAGCTGGGGACCAGTGCAGCCTACCATCGCACTTACCCAGTTCTCGGTCTTCTTGGCCCTGCGTTCCAGTCCCTTCTGCAGGCGTTCCCCTACGCCCCCAGAGGTCTGAAATTCATCCACCAGCTGCTTGGTTTGGGCCCACTCCTCCTCACTCACAATGGGCTGCAGTGCCTTGAGGTAATGGTCCAGGGACTGCTGAAGTGGGGGCACAGGCAGCCTCGGCAGAGCATCTTGGTGTGTCTTGAAGCGGCTGGAAACCTTCACCAGGGACGAGGGCCTGAGGAGGCCCAGGGGCTTCACCTGTGGGCAGCAGAAGACCTGCTTATTCTCTTGCAGGCTCTGAGCACCTGAATCTCCCAAAGTTGCAGTCCTAGGTAGGTGCTTATGTGTCCACCCCTGAAGGCAGAGATGGCCTCATGGATGGTGCCTGCCCTGGTCTCCCAACCCTTGAGCTACAGGTGTCCCCACCTCCCAGGGACCTGCAGCTACACGCAGGGATGGAGGGGGGTAGGTGTGGCCACTGATCCTGGCAAGGCTCCAGGGACCCCAGTCAGGATGAAAGGTGCTGTTGGAATGGTAGAGGTAAAGGGCCTCCCTGCTGTCTGGATGTACAGGCCCAGCCTTCTTGCTCTGTGAAGATGAATCAGCAGCAGAGAGCTGACAGCCCCCTCTCTGTGGTTCCCACTTTCCTTTCTCCCACCCTTTCCAGGTTGAGAAATAGAAGGGAGAAGAAAATTAGAGAGCCAGACATTGAGAGCACCCCTGGGTGAGGCCTTGGCCTCAGGATTTCTCCTGCCTGAGGGGTGGGAGTACGGGGTAATAGGGCAGTGCAGTGGCGAGAGCTGAGTGGCCTGGCGTAGAAGGTGAGAGGTGGTAAAAAAATGTGAGAAAGATACACAGAGGAGTCCAGGAGACTCTGGAGGTGGCAGAAAGAGAGACAGGAGGGTCCCAGGCTGCTGGCTGGTGGCAGGCAAGCGGCAGAAGCTCCATTCCATACCTTTTCTCTCTGCTGCCCGTCTTCCATGGCAAGACTGAGGTTCTGAGCCCTGTCTGTCTGCCTTGGCTGGATCTCTAAGCCTAACTGTGCTACCAAGTGGGTGAGCAGAACCTACCAAGAGGCAGCCACCTGCCCGGGCTGGAAAAAAAGACAAGAGCCAAGATTCAGGGGAGAGGCAAGATGGTAATGGTGATGACTATGGTGGCATCTGGGATTGAGACACTGACAGATAAAGCTGCCAGACTGAAGCACCTGCTCCACCCTCCCCAGCTTCCTCAAGTGGAGGAATGGGGAGCAGGTGAATGGGTTGCCGGTAGTGGGCAATGGAGTAGCATTAAATCTTTAAGTATTTTTCCTTTCTTCTCAGGATGGGCCCAGTGCCAGGGAGGCAGACCAAGACGTATTTAAAAATCCACCTGTCAAAAATCTATGTAGATCTTTTTGATGTGGGAAAACTTGGCTGGAGGGCAGAAACTGCCGGGCTACTGAGTCATAGCAGCTCTGAAATCAGTACTGAAATTGGGATTGATGCAAGTGAGAGACACCAGTCACCAGTGGGTAGTGGCTGCCAAGAGCCCCATCCATCCCATTTCTCTCCTGGACTAATGAGACCCTTCTGCACCACCCCTCTACCAATGTCTGGTGTTTCTTCCTCACTGTGGCTAGTTCTGCTGGGGGTGGAAAGTGGAGAACTTTTGTTATTTAAAATAAACAAAATGGGCTGGGGATGTGGCTCAACGGTAAAGCACTTGCCTAGCACTTGGGAGGCGCTGGGTTCGATCCTCAGCACCACATAAAAATGAATAAATGAAGTAAAGATATTGTGTCCAACCACAACTAAAAAATATATTAAAAAATAAACAAAATGACACTGGCTTTGGAATTAGGGTAAATTTGAATCAACAGATCCAGGGGGACTGGCCAAGTCCCCCCTTGCCTCAGTTTCCCCAGCAGTAGAGTGATCAGGCCAGTATGGAGGATGACTTAGAGGCCCTCTGTGGGACAAAGCACAGATTTCTTGCAATGGAAATGGTGAGGTGGAGACTCAGGTGCTGGAACACCTTGAAGAGTCTCTTTAAGTCTGAGTTCCAATGTGTACCTTCAGCCACTGGCCTGGAGTTATCTGTCTGGGAAAGAACCAAGCAGAGAAATGCTTGGATCAAAAAGGAAAGGAACCCAGCCAGCACATGCCTATAATAAGCCCAGCAGCTGGGGAGGCTGAGACAGGAGGAATCGGGAGTTCAAAGCCAGCCTCAGCAAAGGGAGGCTCTAAGCAAATCAGTGAGACCCTGTCTCTAAATAAAACACAAAATAGGGCTGAGGATGTGGCTCAGTGGTAGAGTGTCCCTGAGTTCAATCCCCAGTACCGGCCTCCACCACCCCGGCACCCCTCAAAAAGGGAAGGAATCCATATCAGGATAACAATATCTGGGCTGCCTTCCGGGGAGAATAGGGTGGCTGTGGACAGATTGGGGAAGTGGGCTGGTGGGGAGAAAGGGCATGGGACTGCCACTTGCTGTCCCCTACCAGTCCAAGGACTTCGTGTGCAGCTCAGCTTCATGCCTCCAACGAGTTTGTCTAGCTACACACAAATCCCGAGGGAGGGGGCATGTGATACACACAAGGAGACGGACCAACTGTAGAACTGGAGAAGTGACTCAGGCCTGCGCAAGGGCGGCTCAGTCTGAGCTCCTGCGACAGGTGCCAGTCACCGTAACCGGGGGAGCGAATGCGGGGCTGCACGTTCCCGGTCCCTCCCAGCTTGGCTCCAGGTCTCAGGGTGCTGCCTGAAGCCAAGGTCTCCGCCGACTTTTGCAGGTGGCTGTCACTGCGCGCCCGGGACGCGGGTTCGCTCTCGCCTCTGCCCTTGCCCCTCCGCTTCCTCCTAGGCCCAGCCGACCCCGACCGGCCTCCCGCCCGGTGCCGGGCCCTACGGGCCGGGCGCAGCCGCACTCACCACGGTCCTGGCGGCGAAGGCTAACATCTCTGCGGTGCCGGCACCGACACTCGGTGCGCTCCG